AAAATGCGCCACCCATCTTGAGATATAGTGTAGTTACTCAAGTAGTGTAACGACTGCCCAAACCTTCAACTATAACGGAGTAGCTTGTAGAGATTAATATTGGAAGACTTTTAGTTTACTCTGAGTAATTACTTGGTGACGTAATTAAGAACGGCTTTGGCGCTGTCAACGAAATTCCAATCGTTATGTAATAAATTATTCTAAGAATCGTTTGGTCACCCTTCCTGAAGGCGTAATGTTATTTGGACACGCTTTTGAACTAGATTATGAACACCGCCTTACAGCAATGTAACAAATTGAATAGGAGGATTCATATTTCGACATTTATTACTTGAAGACAAACTGACGCCTATGTTAAGTTACCAGAGTAAAACAACGCGAAAGTTTTCGTCGTAAGATGTGGAAAATATTATATAGTAAAAGTACTATCCTGTTCATCCAAAAAGAACGTGCAAATATTTCGCAATTGAAATACTCTTGGATAGCGGGTGCTTTTCGTGCGTTCGGCGAGGTAAGTCACAGGTTTACGAACTATTAAAAACTATAATTGACAGAAAATCTATATAATATAACTAATTAAGTTTATTGCTGACGAGTGGCCACTCATGAGCGTCAGCAACATCAGGGGCACAAGGTAGCTGCTGTTTACCGATAACTCACTAGTGATGGAGCGTATTGAAAGTCAGCGTGGGTAATGTCGTACCTATGTATTTCAACCCACTGAGTTCCTCGCCAGATCTTCTCGGTAAGACGCGATTTCGATCCTGTGGTAGATTCAGCAAAATAGGCGGATATGGATGAAAATAACCTTCCCCAGAAGGATGCCGAGGACCGGGTAAAGCGGAGGAGTTTTAAGTTGTAAAACGAACCCTGGCACTAAACCAGGAGACAGGTAGGAAGAAGAAGAAGAAGGTAGATTCAACTCAGTATTGCTCTTGCTAAGGCAAATGTTATGAAATCTTGTCAGGCAAAGCCCCGTAAAATCCCTTGCAACCTAGGTGAAGCCATAATAATCTAAAAAAACATATTTCGGCAACACGCATGTATAAATAAGTTAAAAATCTATATTTCGGCTATGTAAAGTTTCCGGTAGGCAGCGGCTTGACTCTGCCTCTGGCATTGCTGAAGTCCATGGGCGACGGTAACCACTCACCATCAGGTGGGACGTATGCTCGTCTGCCTACACAGGCAATAAAAAAAACGTTAATAGATGAGCTATGATATCTTTTATTATTTTAATTAATTTTAATAACAAGTTTAAATGTTATGTTTATACGCTTTTAATTAGCTTACCCCTATTTGTGTACCTGTAAGGTATGAATTTATTTAGCCCAGTTTAAATATACATTTGCACGTTTAGGTAATCGCAAACTTTTCAGACAGGTATGGGACCGGTTAGAATATAATATTTACTTGATTATGACTAATAATTATGAGTGAAACTATTCCAAAACGATTTATAACCTTAACACAGAGCAAATTGAGTGATTTCTCACTCTTTTCTTGTAAAAATTTGTTGGGGTGTATGTGTTGTTTTTATTTATTTATACTTTATGCACAAAACAAAACTTGTACACAGGCGGACTTAATGTCATGGGCATTCTCTTCCAGTCGACCATAGGGTGGTGCAGAGATAATGCATGGTAGGTGCATTAACAAAAGAATAAAAAACAACAACAACAAAACAAAAAAAAAGAACAAACTCAAACCAAAAATCTTCCTTAAAATAACATCTCAGTATTATAGAATACACATACTACAATTTAATATACCTATGTATAAAACAGTAAAATACATACATACATATAATTACACACAATATAATATACATGTAAAGTAATAATATATAAATACACATGAAAACACACAATTTAGTATTATATTTGAGAATGGCTAAAAGTAAATATATATATAATAATAATAATAATAATAATTGAAAAATAAAATAAATTAGTTTGGAGATGATTCTTCCAGTTTTTTGTGGATGTATTCGCGAACTTTGAGTTTAAAAGTAAAGCGATTGCTGATCATCCTGATTTCTTTGGGAAGCGAATTCCATAATATTATGGACTGTACAAAAAAAGAAGAATGTAAAAAATCTGAGCGATGGATAGGACATTGTAAGAGACGATTATGTGAAGAACGTAGAATTTTCTCATGGCTTGCGTTCAAGTATCTAAAATGCGATTTTAAGTAAGAGGGTGAGGAGGCAGAGTCCAAAAGAGAAAACAAGGTAGTAAGCGCTCTCTCCTCTCTACGCTGACGGATCGGTAACCATTTCAGACGAGTTCGACGCACGGACACATGGTCATATTTTCTAAGATTAAAAACGAATCGAATGCAATTATTGAGAAGGCGGTCTAGTTTGTTGAGGAGATCTGCATTCAGGTCATAGTAGCACACATCACCGTAGTCTACCATAGGGAAAATTAAAGCCTGCACAAGCATGGCCTTTACATTCGATGGTAGCATATTTTTTAGCCGATAGAGAGATCGCAAGGTCCTGATGACTTTTTGACTAATGGATGTTATTTGCGCTCTCCAACCAAGTGTAGTGTCAATGTGTAATCCAAGATTTTTCACGTTTCGGCTAAAGGGGATGATTGTGTCATTGAAAACAACAGGCGGCAACTTAAAATTACTGATCTTACTCATATTTCGATGGCTACCAACAATTATCGCCTGGCATTTGGTAGGATTCACCGCCAGACCAAACCTATCGGACCAATTTTTGATTGATTTTAAATCATTGTTTAGTTTGGTAATAGCGTCCGATATGTGATCAACATCAGTTTGTGCCTACAGTTGTAGATCATCGGCGTAAAGATGAAATGCACACCGTAGCTCAGGGGTGAGAAAATTAATAAATATTGAAAACAAGAGAGGAGAGAGGACACCGCCTTGTGGGACGCCAGATTCAAGATTACACCAGTTTGATGAGAGTTCGTCATTACGAACAGATTGCTGACGTCCCTGAAGATAGGAAGAGAACCAATCCAACGCCCCTTTTGAGACGTTGAGATGAGAAAGGATGGAAAGAATGATATCGTGACAAACGGTGTTAAACGCGTTTGAGAAATCAACCAAAACTAGTATAGTGATTTTGGATTCTTCCAAGCCCACCCTGATATCACCTGTCACTTTCAGAAGCGCGGAAATGGTACTGTGGCCTGGTCTAAACCCAGATTGAAAAGGGCTAATTAGGGAATTATTAAATATAAATCGAGAAAGCTGCTTATGTACACAGATCTCGAGCACTTTGGATAGGAAGGGTAAGATTGAAATTGGGCGAAAGTGATTAGGAACAGAAGGGTCAGGAATTTTAGGTAGGGCACGAACATAAGCTCTGCGCCATAGGAAAGGAAACTCTCCGGAGTCAAGAGAGAAGTTAATAATATGATAGATTGCAGGTAGGAGACAGTCTAGGATAGTTATAATCATGCGGCCAAATATGTTGTCATATCCCACCGCATTAGATTTAATGGAAAGTATCACTTTTCTTATCTCAGAGGGAGCTACTGGAAAGAGCTGAAAGGGGACAACATCTGGACGCTCTAGGCCAGACAAATAAGCTAACGTTTGATTTTTAGTTAAGGGATCTATCACGGAGGATGTGGAGAAGTGTCGGTTGAGATCATCTAATTGAATAATATTTGGAATGTCCAAACGTCGCGATCTGCCGACACCCAAAGTTCCGAGAAATTTCCAAACATCGGCAGGAGAAGAAGAAGCGATATTATCCAGAATGTGGCGGCGCTTGGCATTGCGTATCATTTGATTACACATATTCCTAGCAGACTTAAAAAGGACCCAATTATCTTCGATGCGATTCTTTTTGAATTTTCGAAAAGCGCGATCTCTGCGACGCATGGCCATCTTAACTCCTTCAGTCATCCATGGTGCAGGCATTCGTTTCAGTTTTACTTTTCTAATTGTTTTTAGTATTTTTTTTAATCTGATTTATAATATATCTACTATTGGTCACCGTTATCAATGCCTGGGGTACAGCCAAGCCACTGCCTACTACCAAGTACTCATCATTAAACTCATTTGAAGAGAAGATGCATGATGCATTCAGAAAAAATAGAGAGGTGAACTTATTTCTAAAATCGGACGGTAGGTGGCAAAAATATCTCTGGGAATGCATTGTAAATCATCGCAAAAATATTATCATTATAGATTTTAAATGATTATTCAGAGTACTCGTGAGGTACAAAACACAGAGAGAACTGAAGTACCTTCGTATACCCGGAGGACCTAAGCGATCCGTCAGAATTGGACAGTCGACTATCCAAACGTCTAACTTTATGTAGTAGCTTTATGGATAAATTTTAATTTAGAAAATGTTGCTGCATACGTTAATAGTATATTGGAACGCATTAAGCATTTTGTATGTTCCATTTGAGAAAGTAACACTCCAGATATGCGGCCTTAATTTTTATGCTCTTCATACTGATAATTTTAAAATAAATTTTGATTTGTGTTGTTTATAATTCACACTTTTTCCATGTTCTATATATTTATTTATTTCATAAACACTAGAGTATCTCTGGCCAAAACTAAGTTTTTTTTTCTTATTATTCTTACAATTACTGTTGAAATATATTTTATGTAGTTATTGGCTGCATACAGATATCATACACGTTGGTTGAAATTTAAATATAGGAAGAACTAACAGTATCATTCGTATTTTGTCATCTTAACGATAAGGGATCCCGTGTGTTGAAAAGTACCTAGAATCTTCTCTATTGAAATATTACATAATAATATTGCGGTGAGAAAAAAATAATCGTGCAATGGCCATATTTAAACAAACCCAAGTTTGACACAGAAAAAACCTATACTTATTTAACTAGGCATTAAAATTCCAATTAATCCAAGCTTACATCATAACATGATTGCAATTTAACTTTATAAGAAATTACAAATATTATTAAAGACTACAATAACAATGTCAAAAGAGTTCAGGTTGTTAATTAACAAGTCACGTAGGCACTTACCATAAATCATTGTGATGAAAAGCAGAATTGCATTCATCAAGCAAGAATGCTTTTTAATCCTCTTCAAATTTTCAGCCATATTTTTTTCTGTTTCTTTAATATTTTTACGTTTAGTTTGACACTCTCCGTCTTTTCATCGTCACTTGGCACATTCATTCATAATTTATTCAAAAATAAATTTTCCCTAATGACTCTAACATTTTAACACAATTTATATGCATCTACAAACTATACCTGCTTTCACTAAATCTGTCAACGTACACTCTACTATGTAATTAACACGTTGACAAATTATGACACCGGTTCCTTAAAGCAGATGTCACATCATACATTAAAAGCTCCCCAATCTATTTTGGATTTTAGCCGTTTTTAATTTGTTTGCTACAGGACACGATGCTTCTACGACCACGCGCGCGTATTAGTTCCTTGTACATAGTGAAAATGTATCTATAATTAACTCAGAAACTCCCCTTGTTCTCGAAGATAAATCTTTATTAATACGGGCGCGTAAATTTAAAAAGAAATTTCGCTTTGGCACGCCATTTCCGATGTATCCTGATTTACGATTACTTCAAGCGTTCGTAGACGGACGCGCACAGATCTATTTCTTGTTCATAAAAGTTTTTCAACACGGGGTACTGGGCCGGCATCGACTCCGAACGGCCGAGTTCGTAGGATCGTGGTATCGGGCCGATTTTGACGGAGCACGGCGCGCGTCTGACCGCGAGGCTCTTTGGTGAAGCACTGACTTACATAAGGGATCTCTCCGGTACTGTAAAACGGGGGAAAAGGACGGAAAATGATTTTCGTAAGGGTTGCGGCCCGTTCGGCCGCGAATCGAGAGGGATGGAAAACATTTTCACATTCAGTCTCTCAGGTCTGAATAGCGTTGAAATCCTGTGTGAAGACGCAACGCAATTAAAACGTAGATAAATCAGCGAGATCATCGCCCAAGTTAATGGAAGGGTCTATTTTGTCTTTTATTGAGCAATTTGGTTTGTTTAATGTAATTAACATTCATAATCGACCCGTATGTGTCACTTTATTGATAACCGAGAATGACGTGGGATGTATAAGGTCGTTAGCATGATAATAATGTTTTGTTAAATTAAAAAAGCTTTCTTTTGTATTTTAAGCTAAGTTTTAAGTGTCTTTTTGTGATTATATATAAGTTTTAGAAAGGTGGCGTAGGAAATAAATAGCACACAAAAAAAATAGAGTCGGATGGTACGTGGCAAAAATTATCTATCAAAAGTTTGAGATATTAAGATGATCAGAAGTATTGGTTACGAGTGGTAAGATAGTAAAGAGTTTTTTTTGTGGCTTAGATGATTAGACCGCCTGGTGGTAAGTGGTTACTGGAGCTCATTGACATCAACAACGTAAATGCAGCCACCCAAATTTTTTTTTTTTTTTTTTTTTTTTTTTTGCTTAGATGGGTGGACGAGCTCACAGCCCACCTGATGTTAAGTGGTTACTGGAGCCCATAGACATCTACAACGTAGACGCGCCACCCACCTTGAGATACAAGTTCTAAAGTCTCAGTATAGTTACAACGGCTACCCCACCCTTCAAACCGAAACGCATTACTGCTTCACGGCAGAAATAAGCAGGGCGGTGGTACCTATCCGCGCGGACTCACAAGAGGTCCTACCACCAGTAATTACGCAAATTATAATTTTGCGGGTTTGATTTTTATTACACGATGTTATTCCTTCACCGTGGAAGTCAATCGTGAACATTTGTTGAGTACATATTTCATTAGAAAAATTGGTACCCGCCTGCGGGATTCGAACACCGGTGCATCGCTTCAACACGAATGCACCGGACGTCTTATCCTTTAGGCCACGACGACTGCATGAGGCATGAGTTTGAAGTCTCAACTTACAGTACAACGGCTGACCCACCTTTCCAACCGCAACGAATTACTGCTTCATGGCAGAAATGGTAGGATAGTGGTATCTATACGTTCGGGCCTACAAGACGTGATACCACCAGGAAGAAGATGGCGACATCATTTAGAAAAAACCCTCAGAACAATCCCCATAAAATCATGATACACACCAAAGGACCGATGCTTCAAACAGTTCGCGAGACTATGAATACTAATTAGAAAAATACTAATTACTAATGTTACTTTTATAAAAACAAAATTCCTTTTATGCTTATTTTTTGCGAGAAAATATCCTACGAGTATACTTACGAGTTTAATTAAATTTCATTCACCACATTATTAAAAAGTTTTCTGAGAAAAAAACCACGTTAGTTTTTTTTATTTCCTGAATGCCCGTCAAAGGCGTGCTGAATACTCAGACACATATTTCATTGAAAATTAAAAAATAGTTATTTAATTTATGTTACATCTTCGTACGACACTCGTCTTTTGTTATTAAAATTTGCTTTATTACTAACTAGCGACCCGCCCTCGCTTCGCTTCGGAAACTGTAATTTATTATTGATTTCTCCACTATTTAATGGATGTTATTATACATATAAACCTTTGTCTTCAATCACTCTATCTATTAAAAAAAACCGCATCAAAATCCGTTGCGTAGTTTTAAAGATTTAAGCATATATAGGGACAGACAGATAGACAGAAAGCGACTTTGTTTTATACTATGTAGTGATTAGTTAGCTTTTCCACGGGAGTTATCTTGTGTTAATGTAGAAAAAATGTATTTCTTTTGGGAATAGAACTTTTTTTCTACAGGAATGACTCTTTAGAAAAAGATCCTTATGTTTTTTTCTGATCGGTTGAGAAGTTAAGACGTGAAATCATAACAAACAAGTAATCTATGCTAATACTATAAAGAGGAAAGATTTGTTTGTTTGTTTGTATTGAATAGGCTCCGGAACTGCTGAACCGATTTCAAAAAATTCTTTCACTGTTTGGAAGCTACACTATTCCCGAGTGACATAGGCAATAATCTTTTTTGAAAAAAAATTAGGGATCTTTACTAAAACTCCAATAATGTAACCCAAGATGTAAAAAAATTACCTAAAATATTCTTTACAACGCGCGCCCTGCGAAAACTATTGATGATAGAATAAAATAATGTACTACGACTTTGTAGAACACATTATTATTTGCAAAAAGTGTCGCGACAGCATATGTCTAACTATTATAGTTATGCCGCAATAAGTGTTCTTTTATTTACAAAAAATAAAATAAAGTCAAATATCGTTGAAATTTTTGTTAAAGTCCCGAGCGGAGCCGGATCGGGCCGCTAGTAAATCATATAAAGCTTAATAGTGTTATTGAAATTATAAACATAATTATAAATATGTAGTATGGATATGGAACTCAATATAAAATCATTTATACGAAAATCTGTTTATTTGTTACATAAGTACAAGGACAAAGAAAATTCATGTAATTTTGTTATTAGCATAAAACATTGGATAGGTTTTCTCGAAGTTTGCATTAGCAAGTAGATGATAAGTTTTATAGTAATATAAGTTGATAAGTATGATTCTGAATATTGGATAATTTGTCGGCAACTGGCTAGTTTCATGTACTGACTCATGTGGTCTCACAAGACGTACCACAAAATGGGTGTCATAAAGGATTTTTTTACCTTTTCCAGATAATGTCAGAATTTGGCAGCAATATTTCTCGATTTTATACCAGACAGTACGATCAGTAACCGGTTTTTGCTGTTTAGGTGGTTAAGGCATGATGTGATAATATAAAGCAAGATATTTGACAGATGCCCGCATCTCGCTTACGACATTTTCAAAATAAGCTTGCATTTACACAAGTTCCGAACAACAACATTCGGACCGTCGGTCTACCGAGCAATATCACCCGCTCGGTGGAAGATCTTCCCTTCGTCGTTAACACTTCATTGAGCCTATTTTGTTTAATTCGCCGTAAAAATATCGTGAATTTCAATTGGATCTGGGACACCCCTAATACAATATCACTGAGAACTCGACGCCGTGTCTCAAAGTGGGTATCGTTCATGAACACGAGTAAGGTAAGCCTTACATAGGTAAATTGGTACTTGTTAGCGAATTGAACCCTGTCAAAATCATATCACTCGATAGGAGTACAGCCGGCTCTGTGCTCTTAGCGCCTCGTCAAGTATGGGGCCAGAAAAAATACCAGCTAGCTTAATAAAGTCTCATTACGAAGAAATGTGTGTCAACCCTAAATAAAAATGTACTATAATTTGATTCATTATTATAAGGAATTTGTTGTATGCGTGCTGGACTATTATGGCAGCGGTAGGGCTGACTATAATGAAATGAAATGAAACAAGGGGAAACTTGAGTACTTTATGGATTGCAAAAACGAAATTAAAATTTAATTTTTATACAAAGGATAGTGTTTGTTTAATTACGCGGAGTGCTTTCAAAAATTCAACTCGACTTTTAAGTAAATAATCTTAGAGTTTAACAAGGCGTTTTTATTCTTTTGATTGTAGAGCTTTTTCAGAATATTTGAGTAGCTTTTGTTGATTGATTTGAAACAGACATTAATTTTCTTAACTCAATTCTCTTTTATGATTTTCTTCTTATATAAATGTATTGAAGGAATTTTGTAAATTTAAATAGATAAGATTAAACTAAAATTAACCTTTGCTGTTGTCTGGAGCCTATGGACATCAAAAAACCAATACCACTGTCTACCACGGGCTTTGAGGTGGCAATCTCAATTGTATAAAGAAACATCTATCTTGAAAGAAAGATGACAAAAATATCATTCATTGCTTAATACCCCATGGGCTCTAACCACGTTCACCAATACAGTAGAAAAACGTATATATCATAAACTAGCTGACCCGCTGATAATTCAAGACCAAAATTAGCCAAATCGGTCGAGCCGTTCTCGAGGTTTAGCGAGACCAACGAACAGAAATTCATTTATATATATAGGTATATAGACTAGCTGACCCAGCAGACTTCGTAGTGCCTCAATCGATAAATAAAAGACACATCAAAGGGACACATCAAAGGAAAACAAAAATTGTTTGTTTTTATATAATTCCGATCTTTTTTATATTTTCTCACCGTTTAAACATTTCCTGGACTTCCACGAATAATTCAAGACCAAAATTAGCCAAATCGGTCCAGCCGTTCTAGAGTTTAAGCGAGACTAACGAACAGCAATTCATTTTTATATACATGTATAGATTTATTATTAATCTATATATATATTTTAAACAACCATTTTTTCAACCAATAAGTACTACACCGCAGTTAATTTATATCCTGAAGTGATTCTTGTCCATTGTACATTTTTAATTTGCATGCTTTGTATTTTTGTTTATTTTGGTGTACAATAAAGTATAAGCCCTCTCTTTCTCTCTCTCTCTCTCTCTCTCTCTCTCATTGTCTCCCATTTTATTCTACTTGCCTATTAATTCCTCGAAGCCGTTCTTAAAACACTGTCATTACCACATCCAATCTACATTACAATATGGGCCTGAATCAATATTGTTAGGTGTGACCTTTGAAACCTTTCCATTCAAATGTTTGCTTTTAATTTTAATACGATCTTCTCACAAAGGTGGAGCTTAATTAATTTTATGTGATATATTAGCTACTGGGATCGCCTCTTTTAATGACTTGCGCCGTATTTTTACCTTCGATTTCTCATTTTGATACTTTTAATTACTTTGTCATTTCATACGTTTGATCTTTTGGGACGCCTTGTATTTAACTAGATCAGTAGCCTGAATGTGAATAATGCTGTTGTTGATTGAATTGCCATCGACAATGGC